AACATGTTTTGAAATATATAAAGTGCACCAAACTTTACTCAGTCCATTCAACAATTCTAAATGGACAATTATGTAACTCATCAATTAATTATTTGAAAGGATAATTTGTCAATTAAACACTGAAAAAAATAAACAATTCATTAATGAGGCAAGAACTTTCTCTCTCTCTCTCTCTCTCTCTCTCTCTCTCTCTCTCTCTCTCTCTCTGGAAGCCCCACTCTAAGGGAGTTTGCAGTGTATTAGTGAGTCATATATTGTACAACCACAGTCATAAAGTTTTCAATCAGTAGTTTTATTTCAGTATGTATTTTTCCAGTATCACAAAAAGTGTAATTTTATATGGTTAAAACCATCTAGCTTATGTGCACTTTTTAAAACACTGCCCAGCAAACATTCGGACGTTTAATGACAGTTGAACGGTCACAACTGTAAAATACCTGAAAATAAGAAAAATTAACATGACATCTACTGCATTTTCCTTGCCCGGACTCGAACTTGGATCCTCCAGGGGGAGAGTCACCCGCTCTCCCAGCTGAGCTATGCCAGCAACTACTGAATATCAGACTTTTTTATATGGATAGAGGGTAAAGTGCGGGGTAAACTAACCAATCAGAGGACAGAGAAGATCTGCCACAGGCCACGCCTCCAGAGTGCCAAAAGCCCTTACAGCCGAGCGAGCAGGAGTCAGACCGAGCGCGCAGAGAGGCTGCCGAGCGCGCACAGAGGCTGCCGTGCGCGCACGTTTTCCTCTGCCGTGTGCTCGTTGACAACGCGCGCACGCAGGTTTGTCACTTGTGCACATCCTTGTGCGCTCACAGACACAGTTTGCTCCCTCTCAGTGCACAAATGACCTCTCGCCATGTATATTTCCGCTCGCGAGTCCCGTTCACACGCGTGCTGCCATGTATATTTGCGCTCGCGAGTCCCGTTCACACGCACGCTGTGGACCCAATGCGCGTGCATGGGTTGTGGCACGCTTTAAACGCCATACAGGACCTCATCCCTGACCTGGAGAACGCATTCTACCCTTTTCCGAATCAAGACCATGGTCTCAGATTTAGAGGAGCTGATTCTCATCCCAGCTGCTTCACACTCGGCTGCGAACCGCTCCAGCAAAAGCTGAAGATCACGTTCTGATGAAGCCAACAGGACTACATCATCTGCAAAAAGCAGAGACCTGATCCTTAGGCCACCAAAACGGATGCCCTCCACACCTTGGCTGCATCTAGAAATCCTGTCCATAAAGGTTATGAAGAGAACTGGTGACAAAGGGCAGCCTTGGCGAAGTCCAACTCTCACTGGGAACGAGCCCGACTTACTGCCGGCAATGCGGACCAAGCCCTGACACCGGTCATACAGGGATCTAACAGCCCGTATCAGAGGGCCTGGTACCCCATACTCTCGGAGGGCCCCCCGACAGGGCCCCCCGAGGGACGCGGTCAAACGCCTTCTCCAAATCCACAAAACACATGTAGACTGGTTGGGCAAATTCCCATGCACCCTCCAGGATCCCCCAAAGGGTATAGAGCTGGTCCAGTGTTCCACGGCCAGGACGAAAACCACATTGCTCCTCCTGAATCTGAGGTTCAACAATCCGACGGACCCTCTTCTCCAAAACCCCTGAATAGACCTTACCAGGAAGGCTCAGGAGTGTGATCTCCCTGTAGTTGGAACCAGGGCCAGATTAACACTTTGTTGTACCCTGGGCAACAATATTAAAGGGCCCCATCATCACAACCCAAGGATCACCATAATATGGTCACATGCAAAATATATTACTGTAATATGCAGTAAATATACTCAATTCTTGAATGTCTGACATCATGTAACCTGCTCAGGGTAACCTTTGACCCACCTCGTGTGGACTGACCAATGAGGAGAGGGTCTTAACTTGAGGCCCTCTCTTCATCGGTCAGTCTGCAAGAGACTGACTCTCAACTGACGTTCAGTCATAGGCAGCGAAGCGTCTCTGTGCAGCGCAAAATCCCGGGTGGACAGTTTGTTTAATATAGGGTGATCATATTTCCATTTCCAAAAAAGAGGACAGGGGATCTGTGTCTATGACGTCACACTATGGCAACGCCACACAAACCACGTTGGGACCTATTTTTTTGAAAGAACTAAATTAATATCAGATTCTGCCAATAAAAGGGCTCTAAAACAATTCATATGTAACCATTTAGCATATTTATTGCAAAATCTCATTTTTCTGCTTTAATGCTGCAACAAGGTTTTATTCATAATAAATTATTACCTTTTGTTTTACTACAGCATCGGTAAGCTTCCTGTGCACAGATTATCAAGGATGCTTGTTTCAGCTGTGAGATTAGACGATAGGATCAATGAAAAAATAAGTTGTCACACACTCCATGGAAACTTTCAGAGAATCCACAAATAGTGGCTTTCAAATGGTTTTGTTACTTTTTGCAAGTTTATAAAAGCAGCAGATGAGACAGCATGTCTGATAATTTAGTTTTTCATCTGATAATATTAGAACATGTCAGTAATGTCTGAGGGGCTTTTATAAACACTGTATAACTAATACTCCTGGAGAGGGTATGAATTACACAGAGGCTTCTGGGGAGCCCAGTTATGGGGGTGGTCATTTTGCCTTGGCCCCAAAATGTCTTGAAACGGCCCTGGGTGTGTGACTGAGTTTTGAAGGTGATCTGAATTGTATCAGATGTATAAATATTACATGTGTGTAACTTATTGCTTTATACAGGTAAAAACGTGTAGTGGAGATAAATCTACCTACATTTTACTTTTTGTTTTGTTTTCTTGTTTTTATTTAACTATTTTCCTGTCCTGTCTGTCTCTCATCTTCCTGCATCTCCTCTAAACTCTCCAGAAAAACTGCTGCCCGGATTCTTACTTTTTCACCTCATCGGTTACTTCTGAGCAGATCAAAGGGATCTCCTGACTACAAAGGGGAGAGCGCGTTTCGATGCTGCGTCAGTGAGGTGAAATCACCGCAGCACAGGTGATGAGCTCCGCAGTAACAGAGCGCTTCAGGCGCAAATAAGACAGAAAATAGAGAACATGTGCGGACATGAACGATCATGTGTTAATTATAGTTTTTTGGTTGCGCCACTTTGAGAATGGACCGTGCGCTGGAAGCAGCTGCCTGGATTGCTGCGCAACAACGCAGCGCTGTGCCGCTCGCTGCTCAAAAGAGTCCATAAATGATGGAATATCGGTAGAAAACTTTTTTCCGGTTCCCCTGGATGTGTAGGATATCCAACTCCCCCATAATTCGATCCCGGCTCCTGGATGAAAAGCCGGACATTTTCATCAATACAAGAACCCCCAGTCCGGACGCCCGGACAGAGTGAAAAGTGGACATGTCCGGGGAAAACAGGACGTACGGTCACCCTATCCTCATAAAGCGGGAAATTACAGATACAGTATTTTGCTCGTGCCCTTGCTGCCCTGGGCCCTTTAGAGTTCGTGGGCCCTGGGCAATTGCCCAGTTGCCCATATGGTTAATCCGGCCTTGGTTGGAACACACCCTGCGGCCCCCTTTTTAAATAAGGGAACCACCACCCTGGTCTGCCAGTCCAGCGGGACTGCCCCCGATGTCCACGCGATATTGCAGAGCCGCGTCAGCCAACACAGCCCCACAACATCCAGAGCCTTAAGGAACTCCGGGCGGATCTCATCCACCCATGGAGCCTTGCCACAGAGGAGCTTTTTAACCACCTCAATGACCTCAGCACCAGAGATTTGAGAGGCCAACCCAAAGTCCCCAGACTCTGCTTCCTCACTGGAAGACGTGTCGGTGGGATTGAGGAGGTCGTCGAAGTATTCTGCCCACCGATCCACAACGTCCTGAGTAGAGGTCAGCAGCACACCGTCCCCACTATAGATAGTGTTAGTAGCACACTGCCCCCCCCCACCCCCACCCCCCCACCCCCACCCCGAGGCGCCGGATGGTGGACCAGAATCTCCTCGAAGCCATACGGAAGTCTTGCTCCATGGTCTCACCGAACTCTTCCCATGCCCGGGTTTTTGCCTTGGCGACCACCCGAGCCACGTTTCGCTTGGACTGCCGGTACCTGCCAGCTGCCTCTGGAGTCCCACAGGCCAAAAAGACCTGCTAGGACTCTTTCTTCAGCTTGACAGAATCCCTAACCGCCGGTGTCCACCAGCGGGTTTGGGGGTTGCCACCACGACAGGCACCGACGATCCTGCGACCACAGCTCCGGTCGGCCGCCTCAACAATGGAGGCACGGAACAGGGTCCATTCAGACGCAATATCTAATTCCCCTGACTTAATAAGTCCCTCCCTTGACTTAGTATCTCATTCCCTTGACTTAATTGTAATTCCCCCAATTTAATAAGTCATTCCTCTGACTTAATTACTTCGCTCCCCTGACCTAATAAGTCATTCTTTAAAGAGGCATTATTTGCAACGTTTTTTGCAAATAACATTGCCGTGGTAAATTGGCCAATCTTATTGGCTGATCCATTTTTTTGTGAGCCTATTGGGTTTGTTTTTCTTTCTTTGGTTGATGTTGTTCACCCCTTTTATTTAATTTGTGATAAAATTAGGGAAGCTCGGTATTGGCTTTTTTTACCGATATAAACCGATACCACTACATGTTGTCCCCCTCTCATAAACATTTAAAACTAAAACATTTACTGTTACTAATAATAACATCACATTCAACACATCTGGTAACAAATGTACTTTCTGCAGTGTTTTACAATAACATTAGCAATAATCTGTCACGTTGTGAGAAGTGAACCCATCTGCTTTTCGTTGGGATCTGCATGATCAGAAACAATCAGTTTGAAGTTTTGTGTGTGAGTGTGTGTGTGTGTGTTAACTGTCAGCTTCCATGACACTCATTTCTCTGGGATTAGTTCTGATGTGTTGCATGTACATGTCAGTTCTGAGTCAAAGGCAAGGAAACAGAACTGTAATAACTATCAGCTTCCAGGATGAATGAAATGAGTGTCAGGAGGAGGTTTCATCCAAATAAACAGGCCACATCGTCAGCCAAATCTTATTTTATTGTTGTTAACATCACAGCATGGCCAGAGCTAAGGTTAGAGTCCACATATGCAGAACATTTGAAACAAAACATTAAAATAGCAACAGAAATAGTGAAATAAAGAGGACTGCGAGTGGATACAGACCGAGTGTTGGGGTAAAGGGAGTTGGGGAGAGGTAGGACTCAGGGTGTCCTTGGTGATGAGCACACTTCCAGTCAGCCTGTCACTTTGGTTAGCGACAGCGCCTGTCATCCCGCTTCGCTCAGACACACAAATCAGGGTCCGGGTGACGGTTGGAGATGTGACGTTCACTCGCCCCTCCAGCCTCCTTCCTTCCCACTCAGACGTCCTCCCCTTCAACATGAAACCCATCAGAGGCGGTGCTGCCTTGCTCTCCTCTGATTGTGTGTCTTTTCTTTGATATCAGCACCTCAGAAATGGTTTTGGAGTGAAGGGGCTGCAAGTGGTTGGGGGGGCAAATGGTGACACGTCTTAACCAGTCTTAACCAGTCTTAACCAGAAAGCTGCTTTAGACGTTGGCAAAAGTAAAGATGTTTTTAAGTCCCCTAACTTTGGTTGAATACCTCAGGAGTACGCCTTTTTTTTTTGGGTTATAATCATTCGCACTGAAAATCTGTTAGGGGGTCAATAAAATCAAAGTACTGGAGACCCTGCAAACAGCTGAAGGAAAAAAATGCTAAAACCGCATTTTAGTCTAAAAATAAATCGAGTACCAACACTAAACTTTGGATATGTTGAGGCTCCTCTCACACATCAGCTTTTAGCTCGTTAGGTGCTAAAAACCTGTGTGCAGAGGTGCAGGACTTTAATTAGAAGCAGAAGAAGCTCCTTGAAAAACGGAGATAAAAAAGCACCAAAAACACACTAAAAATGAATTCACTTATCATCCCGTCTAAAGCTTCAGTAACATTCGCTTTTCTCCCTTTTCTTCCCCAAATCCTGTTTCAGTTTTTGCAGACTCCCTCCTGACCTCCACGTTTCACGTACACGTAACCACACACCCACCTTCACTAAGCTGCATGTTAGATAAACACCATGACTACTTCTCAGGCCTCTCCTACGGCACCTAAATGTCAGCTCTGGCTAACGGTCCCTTACAGGAACTTATCTACTGGAACATTTTCAGAAGGCTGCTGCGTTAGCATCGTGATTTTCACACCGTTAAAGAGATTAGGACTAAATTGATGATGCAATAAGGGCTGCTTTGGGGTGTGGAAGTACATTAAAGACTAATATGGAGCAATTAAACTGCAATTCTTAGATTATGGATGAAGAAAAGACGGGAATGCTGGTCCTTAAACTTCAAGGAAGGTCTCTGTGCTCGGTGGTTGACTCCTTAATGATCTGAGAAGAGATTAAACAAAAGGAGAAGCGTCACTTCTCTGACAGCGCTGCCATCCAGAGGACAGAGATGAGACGTGCAGCGTTATTCAAGCACACACCTCCCCGTCCCTGGTCTCCACAGTCCGAACCAGGATGCTCCTCTTCACGTGGGCCTCTGGGGTTTTAGTGTCCAAATTAGTCTCTGAGCAACAAACAGAAAGGAGGGTTATTGTGCAGCCTCAAAATCACCAGTTTCCCCCAGTTTTATACAGATTCCATCACAAGAAACTGGATTGGATCACCACGTAGTTTCATCTAAGTTGCGAGGATGTGGGCGGTGTGAAGGTTTGCAACAATCAGACAAGAACATAAAAGTTTCATAATAAATGAATGGTGCTGGGTTTGATTCTGACCTCTGAACTGGAGGTTTGCAAAGCTCTGAACAGGAATGGTGATCCTGATGTGGGAATAAAAACAGTCACTTACATTTCAAATTTACTGCTAAAATGAAAAAAAGGGTCTGCAACACTCTGGTTTACCTGCTCTCCTCCCCCTCTAGGAGCTTCCTGTAGGTGGCTATCTCAATATCCAGAGCCAGCTTGACGTTGAGGAGGTCCTGATACTCCTGGAGGTGTCGTGCCATCTCCTCCTTCAGAGTCTGGATCTCTTCCTCCAGACGGCTCGCCGTGTCCTGATAACCTGCTGTTTCCATGGCACAGCGGTCCTCCAGCTCCCGAAGCTGGCGTTCCAGAGACTCGTTCTCAAATGGCAAAGGAGGTGAGACAGTCGTGTGAGTCAGTTAATAAAAACAAATCAAACACAATTAAATCATCTATCAGGCAGCAGGAGGAGGACCAAATCCTACTTGTTATTTTACAGATTTGACATTTTCCTGATGGTTTTGTCGGTTAGCCGAGCTTACTGTGCCACGAAGAGCATCCAGGTCACAGGTCAACACTTGGACCTGACGGCGGTAGTCATTGGCCTCCTGCTTGGCCTGACGCAGGGCTTCTGCATTTCGATTGGCTGCGTCTGTCAGGTCAGCAAACTACAAAGGAAATAAAATGTATAAATAGTCTATCTGGATGTTTACTCTAAAATAACAACTTTTACTCTTCACAAAAATTTCCACAATAAGCTCTCAGTCACAATGCAAGAGGTTTGAGCGTTTCTTTTATTTTATTTTTTAACTCATTCACTGCCACCGTTTTCTGAACAGAAAGCCCCCGACTGCCAGACTCACAGAGTATTGTGCTCTAGGACCACGTAAACACCAAAACTACCAAAAGAAAGAGTAGAGTCAGCGTGTTCTTTCACAATCCATTGTCCACGTGTGAGCCGCAGAAGCTTTTCCGGTTTGTGCCTCGCTTTAGGCATAGCGGTGTCCCAAACCGATTTCCTAATTCATTGATTGTCTGCTTCCTGATCACATGACATGTGACACACACAGGTGAAAATATACTTTAGAGCTGATGTTTATCGTCAAAGCCCCGTTAAAAAAAGCCAGTGACTTTAGTCGTCATTGGTAGTGAATGAGTTAAAAGTTGAGTTTGAGTTTTTTATGCAGGGTGAACATGAAAATAGTCTCCTACACCTATCTCCTGCATTACCTTCTGATAGAAAATAGATGGTGAAACTCTAGGATTTTAAAATCCTCACACATCTATGTCACACTATGAATTTGCATTCATGGTCTCGCCCATCTTGGCAAGCGCCCGTCCACAGGAAGGCTTGTTTTTCTTGCAGCAGGGAGAGCGAGCGGAGGGTGTTTTGGTGACAGTGACATGGCTGAACATGTTCTGTTAGCCAATCAGAAGCAAGACGTGTGCAATTCAATAATAGTAATGAGTAATTCTACTGTTTTCAGTCCATCTCTGCACCAGAAAACATCTGCATCTCATAACAGGAGCATCATAGCTTTATTTTTTTTTATGGCTCATAAGGCATTGAATTACACTAAAGAACACTGCACAAGTATTGAATAAATGAGTAAATCCCTCCTTTAAAAGTAAAATATTTGACCTTGGATCGGTACCAGTCCTCTGTCTCCTGCAGGTTTGAAGTGGCCATATTCTCGTACTGAACTCTGATGTCTCTCAGAGCAGCAGTTAAATCTGGTTTTGACACATCCACGTCAACGTGGACCTGTTGGGCCATGATCTGCTCCTGCAGCTCACGCAGCTCCTGGAAGAAAAACGTGGCAAAAGTCGTGATTTTGCTAAAATCTGTCTAGTTGTTTTGGACCAACTTCAGCGTTTCTTCATACTTCTTCATGAATTTTCTTCAGGAAATTAATTTCATCCTGCAGGGCCTCGATCTTTCTCTCCAACTGGACCCGACTGAGCGCTGCTTCATCCACATCCTGTGTGAATAATGAGAAACATCGCAGGATGACAGCAAACAACATTGAGATTGCCAATATTTTAAAGATTTTTTAATATTACTAATATTTCCACCTGTCTGAAGGCGTTCAAGCTGTTCTCTGCTTCCTGTCGGAGGCCCATTTCATCCTGCAGCCTGAGTCAAGAAAAATGTGAAGAGCTTCTTACTGAGAGTTCCCAGCCAGGAGGAATTAAATTACACTAAAATATTTCTGAAACATTTGAGATATATATATATATATATATATATATATATATATATATATATATATATATATATATATATATATATATCACAAATGAGAGCACAATGTCTGGGGTCCTTGGGTCAGAAAAAACAAACTCCTGCGCAAAGTTTAGTTAGCTAAAGTTTAACTAAGAAAAATTAAACTTATTTTAAAAATGTGTTCAGATTTTTGTTTTGTCTTCTACTGAGCTGCAGAGGAGTGGCAGGACTCAGCTGAAAGAGCAGCGGCTTACGCATCATTACACTTCCAGTCTAATCTAACAGCCGGAGGAGACCTTTCCCACGGGATGGAATACACACACACACACACACACACACACACACACACACACACACAGAGAGAGAGAGAGAATCCGTGTCAGCGCAGCACACAGACTGATCCTACCCACTAGAAGCAAATGAAACGTAGAGTGACATCATGCAGCTTCATGCAGAGGTTGCTAACAGAAAGAGCAGCACGAATTTTAAAAAAGGTGACCTTTAACCCCTGAAGCAGCAGCATCCCTATTCATCCTGCAATCTCTCACAGGACCAGCAGCTGCTTGGTCAGAGGGCAAAAAAAAAAAAAACCTCCAGTTTCCACCCTGAGACTTTCTATTGGCCTGTCTCAAAATGAAAAAGCGGACGAGAGGCGTGATGGTGGATGTGGAGAAAAGGAGCCGGATAACCAGCGGTGGTGACTTTGTGCTTTGGAGAAAGAGAGGAAAGCTACATCTGCCTGGCATTCTGTTCCCTTTGTGGAGCGCCACCATTGTGCTGCTTCATTCCTCCACACTGACTGAATGGCAGCGAGGGTTCAGTCAGGATCACGTTTGTAAAGAGGGATGGAGGAGTAAAGCCCAGGCAGACCACAGCGCTCTGCATTCCAACCAACCACAAACACACGTAAACAGAAGCGCTACGTAAATACAGACATGACAGGTGTATTTACAGGAATTAACAAAAACATTCTTCACAAGGTCAAATTACTCCTCTTTATGTAGTTTGAAGCACTGAGACTTTTTTGGGGGCTGTTCCGGTTTTCTCCTGGATTTATAAGCTGATGGGAAGAAAAGACTTGGGGAAAAGTTTTAATCCCATCATTATTTCTGTGAAGCATCAATAGGACAGCGAGCACACAAGACACACAAAGGCCCAGGTCTACTTTGGGACCGTTCTCTCCTACCTCTGCTTGAGCGTGCCCAGGTCTGCAGACAGGTTGTCCCTCTCTATCTCCAGACGAGCCTTGCCATTGGTGAGATCGTCCACCTGCCGTCGTAGATCTCTCAGCTCCATCTGGTAGATGTCCCCCAGGCGGCTAGGCTCCTTCCCCTTCAGCTGGTTCAGTTCTGCCACCAGAACTTTGTTCTGCTGCTCCAAAAGCCGCACCTTCTCTATGTAGCTGGCAAAGCGGTCGTTCAGGCCCATCATCTCCATCTTCTCGTTGGTACGAGTTTCTTTGTACTGGGCCTTCAACAAGGAGTCAGCTGAGAAGTCCAGCCGGTCAACGGGGCTGCCCAGCAGCAAGGCCGTGCTGGAGGAGCCCAGGGAGACCCGGGAGACGGGGCTGGAGTGGGTGATGCTTCGAGGGGCGCCATGCCAGGTGAGGCGGTGGGAAGATAGTCCACCTATTTTACCTCCTGAGCTGCTTGAGCTCTGCGGCCCAAAACGTCTCCTGTATGAGGACTGTGCTCTAAGGCTGTCCATGATAGGGAATAAGCTCATTCAGGGGACAAACAGGGCTTTTATATAGGGAGAAACCCCCCCACCCCAAGTCCAGCAGAGAGGCCACAGGCTGGGGCAGTGAGAGAGGAGGGTGGCAGGCAGTGAATGGAACAAAAAGAGATGGCAAAGGGGAGGTTTACATGCGCCAGGGATTGTCTGTGCTCCTCCACTCAACTACAAATGTCTCCTGGATTTTTTTTTTTACCCTCTCGTCTCCCCCTTTTCTCCCCTTGGGCTCACTCTTTCACGCTTACGTTCGCCCCGTTTTTGTTCGCCCTCTTTCTTTCTGTTCCAAGCGAATGAAAAGGAATTTTGTGCAACAGAGTCTGGCCACAAATTCAACCTGACCACACACACTCTCGCAGCCGCGGCAGGAGGACCGGTCCAAACAGAAGAGCATGTTGGGGAGGTCGGCAATAAAGACAGAAGATAAAATCACATGCTCACAGCATGCTTTGAGCTCTAAATAAACAAGATGTAGGACTGAACTATCAACATTCCTCCCGATTCCTGTTGGGATCTAGTTACGTAACGACATAACTGCTAATAAACTCGAGAATAATTTAAAACATTGGATTCATTTTTAGAGTTACAGGTTTTCCGTCCTGCATCCATATCTGCAATGCTTAAAATGAAGGAAGTATAGGAGGAGACAATAAATGAACACATTCTGAAAGTTTTATTTAAAGATAAACAGGAAGACAAATCAGCAAAGGTCTGACATGAGAGACCCTGCTGATCATCTGTGGCTCAAGCTTTCAGTGTTTGCGAGGCTGTTGGTAACAAATTAAATAAAGATTTAATTCGAACTGGTTATGGATCCACGCAGAAGCCAATCAAATAGTTCATGGACCAGAGCTAACATTTCTCAGAAAGGATTTAATCACTGGTCTGATAAATAATCATCAGTTATATAAAGCTACCTTCTCATTTCACAGTAGAGTAATACATGAATTCATCCTTTCAGCATTTGTGGGTAATGATAGCATTCATCCTGTCATCATCGTGGAGGATGCAAACCACTGTAGAAGAAGAAAAGGAGTTACAAGATTTTGATTCTGATGAGTGTGAACTAGTTTCAGGTTATTTGACATCCGGCTGCTTGGAGAGACAGATAGACGGAGTAGATGAAGAGGAGCACGACGATGAATACAAGAAGGACGGGGAGGGGGGGGGGGGGGGTTCGGTGAGTGCAAACCTAATCTGAACTTCAGAATGACAAACGGAGGCTGCATTACAAAACCCTTTTGACTCATTACCTTGACAACCGCTGGGCCGGCTACATCAGAGCACTTCAGCAAATCTTCTCTTGACTTTTTCTTCGTCTAAAGTCGAGCAGGAAGAAGAGAATGTGACCTGCTTTCTTCTGTAAGTGGCCAGAAGGGTCCCTCAGTGCAACAATGTTACCTAATGAGGCCAGGAAGCAGGTGAAGTGATGAACAGCTGCCAGAGAAGGGGGGAAAATAAATTCCCTTTAGCCTATAATCTTTATCATCTTTATTTTTTTTAATGCTGTAGAAATTGTTGATGATAAATATAAATAACTGAGGAAATAGATCTTTGTATTATTTCACAGTTTTTGGTCCAACATTTTCAAACCTTTGTTTCCTTTAAGCAACAGTTTCTCAAATTTCAACCTTTGACCTGCAGGTCAACCACCTGGGAGAGAACAGTTCTTACTGAAGTATGACTAAACACCCCAGACTGGCAAAAACCAACAGCATTTGGTGTTTAAATGAGTGGTGTTTGAAAACAAGACAATAATAATAATAATAATAATAATATATATATATATATATATATATATATATATATATATATATATATATATATATATATATATTCTATATATATAATATATATATATATATAATTATTATTATAACTATCAGCTTATAACGACTGGGTTGCTGCTGGCAAACCTAGGTCTGGGACGATGCTGGAGTCTAAGAAGGCTGCTAATGCTAGATTTAAGAATGCAGTGTGCCACATTAAAATGGAAGGAGTTAAAGCTCACCAGCAACAGTAAACCACCGCACCAGCAACCATTAATGGAGTATCTGGAGATAAGAGTACTGCAGATCTATGGGGGAAACACTATATGTAAATAGTCATGAGTTCAGCTTAGGTAACATCGAGTTCAACTATGGCATGATTGTCCGAGCTTATGAAGTCTGCCTTGCCATTGAGAAAATAAATAAAGCGTGTGGCCTAGACCAACTATCAGCGGAGCACATGAAGTATGCTAGTCCAAGAGCTCATGTACTACTCTCATTATGCTTTACCAGTCTTTTGAAGCATGGTCTCTTACCATGAAATGCTATCAGTTCCATTAGTCCCTGTAGTAAAAGAGAAAATTGGGAAAACATCTTGTATTGATAACTACAGGCCGATTGCA